GCTAGGTTTGCTCATACTGCTAGTGTTTCATTGTCCCTCTCAGCAGAGACACATATACAGATTTGTATATTTTTACCTATTAAAAGCCATGAGTTTATTTTGATACCTTCAGTTGCAGTCTGTCACTACTTTCTATTCTTTCCCTTTTCCTTATTTGTAATTCCCTTGACAAAAGAATCCTGGCTGCCATTATCGTTAATATGTTTATTAATTTGCTCAAGGCTGAAATACATGGAAGGTAGTTTGAGAATTGCTAAATTCATTGTATTTTGAAAAGAAGATGTATAAATTTTTAGGTGACCCATCCATTTCCAGCCCTCAGTTTGGCAGCTGAAAGTCATCTCTTAAGTAAGGTTAAATTCAAGCTAAAGCCCCAAGTAAGTGTGTATAGGCCAGGAAACGTGGATGGCCCAGGGGGTTGTTAAAGGGCCCTAGAGCTACAGTCCAGGGTAGTAGCTTCAAACTTCATATTGACTGTAACACAATAGGTGAGACAGAAATTGTTATGATGGGTAATAGTAGCTGATCATGGCATTAACCACCAGGTCTTGGCAAGTATAATCATCGCACTAAGAACTGGCACCTTAGCTGAAGGAAAGGATCTCCCTTGATGGTGCAGTTTAATCTTTTTTTAAAAGCAAACTACAGGGATCCCTGGGTGGCGCAGCGGTTTGGCGCCTGCCTTTGGCCCAGGGCACGATCCTGGAGACCCGGGATCGAATCCCACGTCGGGCTCCCGGTGCATGGAGCCTGCTTGTGTCTCTGCCTCTCTCTCTCTGTGTCTATCATAAAAAAAATAAATAAATAAATAAATAAAAGCAAACTACAGTAGATTGTTAGGCCTTTTCTGCCCATACATAAAGCACAATTTCTCAGTGACCTCTTTTATAACCTTGTATTAACATATATCCTTTAAAAAATTGCATCCAGTTTTATGACCTACTAGTATTTTTAAGAACTATTTTTAGGGGGCTCAGCTGTTTAGCGCCGCCTTCAGCCCAGGGCGTGATCCTGGAGTCCCAGGATCGAGTCCCACGTTGGGTTCCCTGCATGGAGTCTGCTTCTCCCTCTGCCTGTGTCTCTGTTTGGATGTCTCTCATGCATAAATAAATAAAATCTTTAAAAAAAAATTTTTTAGGAAATGATAGAAGGAAAAGGGTGTTATTAAGTGCAGTACTCTTAATCTGGAGGCTAGCACTTTCTACACAAAAACCTGATTGATTTGGCAGAAATGACATTTTGTAATTGGAATATAAGCTCTTACTAAGAGCTTAAGATTTTGTGTAAATGTGCTGTCAGTCTCAGACATCAAGTGTGCAAGCCATTTGTGCTTTAACATCAATTTCTTTTTGCTTTTACTACTTCTGTAGTTTTGGTAAATATCATCAAGCAACTTCAGCTTTCCACCTTAGCATTGAATGGTAAACAGTCCAAAGATAAATGGATCCTTTTGTATTGCTAGTATCTTTGAGGAAGTCTTAAATTTTGGTTATTAAGATCAGTGTTTAGTGTTGTGCAGTGCATTGGCTTTTTCCTCTAAAATGAGAGGTAAACTTAAAGTTGATTAGTCTCTTCACCTTAACGTGGTCAATACATAAATTTGTCTCTTTTGCTTGGTTTTTTGCCTTTAGATTTGCTGTTGACTGTCCTTCACCAAAGAGAAATTATATGTTAAATCCTTAAAGTAGAGGCACCTGGGTGTCTCAATTGGTTAAGTGTCTGCCTTCCGCTCAGGTCATGATTGGGTCCTGGGATTGAGCCTGCATGGGGGGCGGGGCAGGGGGCAGTGTGAGGGGCGTCCCTGCTCAGCAGGGAACCTGCTTCTCTCCCTCCTGCTCCCCGTCCTTGTGCTCTCTCTCTCTTTCTGTCAGATAAATAAATAAAATCTTTTTTAAAAAATCCTTAAAAGTGGCCTGTTTTTTTGTAAACTTGAATAACTGGTGCAATGTTTGGGAAAAGAAAGGGGCACTTTTTCATCTTTGAAAAGCACACTGGCCAAATTCATAAGGCCATGGGAAGGCTGGAGTTATGCAAGCTGACTCACCTTGACATTATTTTGTGTAAATGGCTTTAATTTAATGCATCTATACTTAGATAATGAAACAAAAAATATAAATTTATTATAAAGTACACCTTTCAGTTTGCTTTTGGTTCATCTCTGTCAAAGCAGGTTCAATTGGTTTTACAAAGAAATCAATGATATGCCTTCTCCAAAATGTTAAGACAATCTGATTGAGATTCCTTTAAAGTGGGTTAATTTTAAAGTCAAGTATCACTAAACATCTGTAGTAGGCAGCTTTAAAGATGTCTCCCAGTGATACCCACTTGCTGTTACCCATACCCTTGTTTTATTCCCTCTCATTTAGTTTAGCTAGATCTAATAGCATACTTTTGATTAATAGAACAAGGTAAAAGTGATAAGATGTGACTTCTAGGTTAGATTACAGAAAGATTCTGGCTTTTGTCTGGCTCACCCTATCTTGCTCTCTCACTTGCTCACTTTAATGGAAGCCAGTTGCCATGTTGTGAGCTACCATATGGAGAGGCAGGAGAATTGGAGCGGGCTTCTACCCTACAATGAGTGAAGAACTGAATCTTACCATAACTATGTGCATGAGCTTGGCTGCAAGCTCTTCCTCTCTGTCAAGCCTTGATGATGACAGTCCGGCTGACCCTGTGAAAGCAGCCTTGTGAGAAGCCCTCAGCCCACTGCCAGATTCCTGACCACGAGAAAGTGTGTGATAATAAATGTTGGTTGTTTTAGTCGCTAAGTGTTGGGATCATTTGTTACTCAGCCAGGGGTAACTAATACAGTGTAAAAATTAAATCACAAAAGCCCCTCAAGCTTTGTGTTTCTTGGTATAGCTTTACCTAGTAAAATTTTTTTTTAAGATTTATTTATTTAGGGCAGCCCCGGTGGCACAAAGTTTAGTGCCACCTGCAGCCCGGGGTGTGATCCTGGAGACCCGGGATCAAGTCCCGCATCGGGGTCCTTGCATGGAGCCTGCTTCTCCCTCTGCCTCTGTGTGTGTGTGTGTGTGTGTGTGTGTGTGTGTGTGTGTGTCTCATGAATAAATAAAATCTTTAAGATTTATTTATTCATGAGAGAGAGAGAGGGAGGCAGAGACACAGGCAGAGGGAGAAGCAGGCTCCATGCAGGGAGCCTCATGCGGAACTCAATCTCGGGACTCCAGGATCATGCCCTGGGCCAAAGGCAGGCGCTAAACCGCTGAGCCACCCAGGGATCCCCTACCTAGTAAAGTTTTAAAAACAACGAGTGCCTGGGCTTCACCCCCCAGATTCAATTTGAATTGGTCTGGGTGGATCCAGGCCTCCATATTCTTAAAAGTTCCCTAGGTAATTCCAGTGAGTAGATGAAGAATCACTGATTTCAGCGTAAATTGGTTTAATAAACTCCCTTTGAGTACCAGATATAAGAAACTGTAACACTGAATGGGAAGTGGAGCTCACTTTTCATTCATAGGTCAGAAGAGAAGACAAACATGTAAACAAACCATGACAACAACGTGGCAAATATTCCAATAAAGTTAAGTACAAGGTGGTATAAACATAGAAGAGGAAACACCAACACAGCCTGATAGTCAGAAAAGGTTTGAAAAAGAAAATGTTATTCTGAAGCTAAATGTAAAAGACTATCTAGAATAAGAACGTGGAGAGATAAACATTGCAGGCAAAGGAGTACCAGAGTAAAAGAACAGTTTTTACAGAATAAGGGTGGTGGTGTGTTCATATTTGAGTAATAGGGCTGGAAAGATCCGGAAGAGTAGGGAGAGTGTTGACAGACCACAAAATTAGGGTTATGGAGACCAGTTAGGATGATGATGTGACCTGCAATGGTGGTGGATGGGATGGAGGGGAGAAGGGAGGATTAATTTGCTAACCAGAATATATAATGTGTAAGACTGGGGGGAGCATGCACAGAAATGCAAAGGGAGGAGCCCATGACGACTCCTGGGTTCTGGCCTGGCAATTGTGTGGGTGGTAGACTGTAACTTTGGCAACAGATATGGGGGAAGCAGAAGCAGAAGACAGAAGGAAATGAACAGTGTTAGACCTCAGTTGGAAGCTTCAGAAGAAACAACTGGTTGCAGTTGGCACTAGAAATGAAAACGAAATTGCCATGTCACTTGCCAAAAGAACACATCTTGGGGATTATTTCGTGTATTTGGAAATAATCGAGAACATAGCTTCTGTTTTGTCTTCATGTGTTTTGATGCAGTCTGCTCTCACGAAGACAGAAATGATCTTGAGAATTAGCTATGTTGACTTTTAGAAAGTTTTCTATTTCACTAAAGAAACCTTTAAAATTGGCCTGCATAAGCTGTTTTTCACCATCTGTGTCCACTAACTACAGTTCCCTCACAGCACACTCCTCTCCTATGTGCCTTTGCCCCTCTTCCCACTTAAGTTAGGAGTGCTGTGGTTCACCCAATTATTAGAATTTTGAATTGACATCAGATTGCATTATATCCTGAAGTGGAAAGGATTTGGATGGTGATATGTCCCATCCTCATTATGATATGGTTATTTTTTCACAGTTTTATTGAAAAATGATTGATATATATCACTGCGTAAGTTTGAGGCTGATAGCAGGATGGTTTGATATACATATTTTGTGAAATGATTACCACAATAGGTCCAGGTAACCCATCTTTTATAGATAAAGAAAAGAAAGGAAAAATTAAAGTTTTCCTCTTGTAAAAAATAAATAAATAAATAAATAAATAAATAAATAAATATAAAATTTTCCTCTTGTGATGAAAACTCACGGGATTTTCTCTCAACAACTGCTTTATTTTTCATACAGCAGTGTTAGCCACAGCCATCATGCTGTACATCCCTAGTACTTATTTATCTTATAACTGGAAGTTTGTACATCTTGACCACCTTCCTCCACTTTCCCCTCCTCCTACCCACTGCATCTGATAAGCACAAATCTGATCTCTCTTTCCATGTTTTGTTTTGTTTTTATTTTTTAGGTTCCACCTACAAGTTGAACTCCTATAGCATTTGTCTTTCTCTGACTTATTTCACTTACCATGATGCATTCAAGGTCTGTCGGTGTTGTCGCAAAAATGGTAGGATTTCCATTTTTTATGGCTGAATAATATTCTGTTGTATGTATATACCACAACTTCTTTATCCACTCATCCACTGATGGACATTTAGGTTGTTCCCAATTCTTGGCTGTTGTAAATAACACTGCTATGAATATCTTTTTGAGTTAGTGTTTTTGTTTCTTTTGAATATATTCTCAAGTGGAACTGACAGATGTTGTAGTTCTAATTTTAATCCTACATATTTTCCATCAAGGCTGTAACAACTAAGAATCCACCAACAGTGCACATGGGTTCCCTTTTTTTCACAAACATGCCAAGTTTTGTTATCTCTCTCTTTAAAAAAAAAATGTATTTGAGAGAGGGAGTTGAGCAAGTGAGAGAGAGAAAAAGCAGACTACCTGCTGAGCAGGGAGCCCAATGCAGGGCGCCCAATGCTGGGCTTGATCCCAGGACTCTGGGATCATGATCTGAGCTGAAGGCAGATGCTTAACCAACTGAGCCACCCAGGTGTCCCTGTTATCTTTTTATTTTCTGATGATGGACATTCTCAAAAGGCATGAGGTGCTATCTCAGTGTAGTTTTAATTTGCATTTCCTTGATGAGTAGTAATGTTGAGCATCTCTTCATGTACCTGTTGGCCGTTTGTATATCTCCTTCAGTGAAAAGTCTATTCAGGTCTTTTGCCCATGTTTTAATTGTTTATTGGGGGTCTTTTTGCTATTGAGTTGTATGAGTTTTGGGGGCTATTAACCCATTAGCAACTAGATGTTTTGCAAATATTTTTTTCCCATTCTGTCTCTTCACTTTATTGATAGTTTATTTGTGCAGAAGCTTTTTGATTTGATGTAGTCCCACTTGTTTTTATTTTGTTGCTCGTGCTTTAGGTGTCATATCCAAAAAATCATTACTAAAACCCATGTCAAAATACTTTATTCCTATGTTTTTTTCTAGGAGTTTCAACTAGTTTCCTAGCTGCCCCTGCTCTGGGTCTCACATTTAAGTTTTTAATCCATTCTAAGTTAATTTTTGTGAGCGGTGTAAGATACAGGTCCAGTTTTGTTCACTTACATGTAAACATCCAATTATCCCAGCATCATTTATTGAAGAGAAAAATCATGCATTTTCTAAGCAAGCTGTCTTTTCTCTGTTGAGTACTCTTGGCTCCTTGTCAAATATTAGTTGACCATATTGGTCATTTGTTCAAAAGAGTAATGTATGTGGCTCAGTACCTCAAAGCATGTTAACCCCGCATATCAGAATGAAGTTACATGTTATTTGGAATACCTGACATTGTGATACGTGCTTTCCAGTTTCAATCTACTCATGTGTTGTGGGTACTTTTTTTTTTTTTTAGGAGCAGAAATATCTAGTTATGCCCGTTTGCTAGTGATAAACTGACACTTTTGAACTTTTAAAGCTATTATCTTTCTTCTCTAGTCTAGACAGCTCATATACCCCCACAGGAGGCAGAGAAGCCACAGGGAAATACTACTGAATCTTACTTACTCTGAAAGGAAGGGTTGCACTTTTGTCTCATCTCAAGCCTGCCTTGAGGCTGGTTCAAAAAAAAAAAAATTTGCTGATGCCCACATAACATGTATCTCTTAAGTAAATCAAACCTATAATTCAACTTGGCTGCCTCTAAGCCATTCTGATTCCTGCCAACAAGAACATTAATGAACTTAGTATCTCCACAGGTTTATTCATGTGTAAGACCCAATTCCTTATTCCTCTTCCTTGTTCTAGCAGCTGCTCGTGCTCCATCTGATAAAGTAGAAAGCTGGAATAGGTCATACAAATCCAGAGTGTGACTTAAACCCCAGATTATGGTAGGCAGTGTTCTGTAATTCTTCTGTCTGGTTTGAGGATGGCAAACAAAGTTTTTAGGGCTTGGATTTGAAAAAAACAATACACTAGTAATTATTGTCGTGAAGAAGGATTTTATAAAACTTAGCTTATTCATGCTCTTACGCTTCCTTTTATTCTCCTTTTGACAATATTCCAGAACAAGCTGTGCTTTGGTAGATTTCTCAAAATGGCATAAGACTAATAAAGAAAGGATCCTAAAAAAGACGTGAACCTAATGAGTCAAAAAATTTTAAGATAGAAATATAAAAGGAGGGCAGCCCAGGTGGCTCAGCGATTTAGTGCCGCCTTCAGCTCAGGGCGTGATCCTGGAGACTTAGGATCAAGTCCCACATCGGGCTCCCTGCATGGAGCCTGCTTCTCCCTCTGCCTGTGTCTCTGCCTCTCTTTCTCCCCTCTCTGTGTTTCTCATGAATAAATAAATAAAATCTTAAAAAAAAAAGAAATATAAAAGGCTATAGACCATTTTTTTCTGTCCAAATTTGTCTACATGTTAGAATCACCACCTAGAGATCTCTTTAAAATTCCAAAGTCCAGGGATGCCTGGGTGGCTCAGTGGTTGAGCATCTGCCTTTGGCTCAGGGCATGATCCCCATCCCAGGATTGAGTCCTGCATTGGGCTCCCTTCAGGGAGCCTGCTTTTCCCTCTGTCTATGTCTCTCTCTGTGTCTCTCATGAATGAATAAATAAAATCTTAAAATATGTATATAAATAAAATAAAATTCCAAAAAAATTTAAAATTAAAAAATAAAATAAAATTCCAAAGTCCAGGCCACAGATAAATAACACTTTTTAGCAATGGTATACAGGCACCAGTGGTGTCTTGACTCCTCAAGTGACTCCAATGTACAGACAAACTTGGAAATCACTAATCTAGACAAGTCTGTTTCCACATGATTGCAAGAAAACACAGCTGTGGCTTCTTCTCCTTAGACTCGTCTCCTAGCTGTTGGTGAGAGATTCTCTGCTGACCAAGTTCTCGATCAGTATTGTCAACTTTGAACTTAAGCAGAGGCACTGAATGAGAAGGAAGCCAATCATTGAAAGGCAACAATCAACTAATCAAAAACCACAGATGGTTATGAAATAGCTGATTGCAATTTTTTAAAGTTATTTTTATTTGTTGTAATGTTTCCTAATAACATGAGTTTTGTGTGTCAGATTTCTCTATTCCATTTTCAGACACAGTTTCTTAGGCACTTAGTTTAATGAAACTCTGGTCTGTCAGGGTGGCATTTTTTCATGCTTTAGGTGAATGCTTTACAGTTTCTTCTTTGAGTTAATCAACTGTAAAATGTATAACGTGGAGTTAGGATGCATTGATTATTATCTATTTTCCTTGCTTAAAGAGACAGAGTTTGACATAAAGATAAGCATTTAAAATTTTATTTTCTGTGTACACACAGCACATTACTTATTTGTATAAGCAATCACTGGCTGTCCAAAAACTAAGAGAAGTTTAATTTTAAATATAGCAACAACTGTTTACTCATCAGTGGTGAATTTACATGGTTGACACTCTTTATAAAAACTCAGAACTCCAGCAATTGTACAAAAATCACCATGCTGGCCTATAAAATTTTAAAGTAATATCGTAACCCAATAAAATAATGATTATGCTGTATGCCTATATGTATCTTGAGAGAGATTAATTAAAGGAAATAAAATGGCAATTGAAGCTGCTGGATGGTTGAAATTATCTGAATAAGTGTGATCTTGACTTTAATGAATTAACAAGTAAGCTTCTTGCTGTAAGTATTTAATTAATTTTAAACCATATTTGATGTAGAAACCGTTTATACTTAATTTCTGGTCTAGTGTTCAATTAAAATCGTCTGTAATATTATCTGCAGTCTCTAGATCCTATTCTTGCTTTTGTTATCTTGCTGCTTGGTCACTGACTGCTGCTGTGCAGTGGGAAAAGAAGGCATATGGCTGTTATCTTCTAATTTCTCATATGCCGGGCAGCCCAGGTGGCTCAGCAGTTTAGCGCTGCCTTCGGCTCAGGGCGTGATCCTGGAGTCCTGGGATCGAGTCCCGCATGAGGCTCCCTGCATGGAGCCTGCTTCTCCCTCTGCCTGTGTCTCTTCCTCTCTCTCCTCTCTGTGTTTCTCATGAATAAATAAATAAAATCTTTAAAAAATAAAAATAAAAATAATTTCTCATATGCCACGGGGAAATCTTCAGGTGAAAAGTTTGCTTAGAAAATGCATGATTTGAGGTCTGCCTTTAGCTCAGGTCATGATCCCAGAATCCTGGGATCAAGCCCCATATCAGGCTCCCTGCTCAGTGGGGAGCTGGTTTTCCCTCTTCTTTCTTCTTCTGCTCCCTCTGCTTGTGCACTCACTCTCTGTATCTCTCCCTGCCTCCCTCTGTGTCAAATAAATAATTTTTTTAAAAAAGAAAATGCATGGTTTTTCCCCTTAGATTTTATTTTTATTTTTTTAGACAGCATGGGAGAGAGAGGTGGGGGAAGGGACAGAGGGGGACAGAGGGAGAGAAAGAGAGAATCTTAAGCAGGCTTCATGCCCAGCACGGAGCCCAACATAGGACTCCATCTCACAACCCTGAGATTATGACTTGAACCGAAATCAGAAGTCAGATGCTTAACCTACTGAGCCATCCAGCACCCCCTCAGATTTTTCTATAAAGAATCGTTTGGGAGAGGTGGTAGAAATAAATGAGAACATGTGTGTGTCATTAAAAACAAAAGACGGAACTGTTGCAGTTACTTTCTAAAATCATTTTTTTTTAATAGGGAGATTTTGGATAAGTCATTATTAAGGAAGCCAAGGACACCTGTGTTGTATTGAAAGCACACCAGCCATGAGATCGGAAGGCCTGAATTTGAATTCTCGTTACTCACAAATATAAGGTAATATTTTTATCCCTCCTCTGTTAAAATGCTTTCTCGATATATGAAGTTTACATTTTGTCCTAGAACATATTTTCTCCTATATCACAAAAAAGTTATATTCTGTACTATCAGTTTTTATTTCATTGTAAATGAGGACAACATGGTATTACATAAGACAAGTGTTAGTGAATTGCAACGCAATGAGATTTGGTTTTGCAATAAGTCTTTAGAATTTATATTTGAATGTGAGTGGTTTTGGGGAACTCTAATTCTATCATAATAGTGATGTTGGGGAACAGGAGTTATGGTCTATAACTCTGTTATATCATGTTCTTATAGTATTTAGTTGTATTTGGGGAGATATGCTTAGACTCATACTATTTTTGAGCCATGTAATGGGCTATAATGTAGATACTATTTAGATAGAATAATGCAACTTCATTACAAGATTGCTTTTATCGCTCTTTATCCTTTCCTCCTTGCAGAATTTATGCCTCATACAAAAGGAAGTATTAACTCAGGAGGAAATAAAGCACTAGGCAAAAAAGAGATGCCCATTTTCCTTCCGTGTTTTTCTTTGCCAGGAGAAAGAGAGACAAATAATTATTTTGCCTTTAAGGCACTGATTCTGAGTGTTAGATTAAATAGACAGATTGTTGACCACATGTGACTTAAACAGTTTTGTTGGTTATTTTACCAAGCTTTGTTTCACTGTTTGCTTGAAGAAAGCTATGCTGTGGATAAACCTTAGGTAGATCAACAGTGACATGTATTGCACTCTACATTGTTTCTACCACAACATTACTTGGTGGTCTTGACTTTGAAAAATGTAATTTAACTTCTAAGAGCACAGATCAGATTCATGTATTCTTAAATATAAAACTAGTTTTGACCTACCCAAGAGGTACAGAAAAATAATGATCACAAATGGAAGAATAAACTTGCCCTATTTGTTGTTCTGTGTTCCTTTTAGGAAATTCATCTGTAGCATAGAGGTGGGCAGTTGATCAACCCATTTTCTTTCTTGTGTGATGTATCAGAATTTGAGAATGTCAGTCTGTTAACCAAGATTTATGTTGGGATCAGTGCTTTGAGGATATCATCATATCATCAGTATTTAGATGTTGTAAGTTTTCTCCAGGCCAGATGAAAAGGCACAACAACCTATTGCTCAACTAATTCAGGAACATGATGGAAAAATAGTTTGATTTGGGCCAAGCTCAGGTCAAATAACTTATAGGCAGACATGGCTGAGTTCGTTCAGTGTGGGTTTTTTTGTTTTTGTTTTTCAAAGAAGCAGACTTTCTAAGATTAGAATCAACATTACTAGTGGAAGCAGGAAAATTAGGAGTAGACCATTAGGTGTAAGATCAAAATACAGCTGCTTCTGTTGTCAGAGCTATCAGGACAGAATGGTGCTCATTTTTTCTCAGGTACTGCTTCTGCATAGTTGTATCAGCAAGTTATATCAACAAAGGAGAGACTAAGAATATATACATGCAATTCCACCATCAGCCAAAAAAGCCACATAAGTCTTTCACATTCTCAAATAACATTCATGATAGGGAATAGTATTCTTTACTGTACTTCTCAACCCTGTCTCTTTCATTTTCTAAGTTCATTTGCTCTTTTAATACTTGCTCAGCAGAAGAGGATGGAAACATGAGAATTCTCATATAGAATCACTGTGCTTTTTTCCCCTTGATACCAATAGGCTTTAGTGTGTGTATTATACACGCACATATATGCATATGTTGTATGTATTTAATATTTAGGATAGTACTCCATGGGTTTTTTTAAAGTTTTATTTATCTTTTTTTAAAGATTTTATTTATTTATTCATGAGAGACACACAGAGAGAGAAAGAGAAGCAGAAACACAGGCAGAGGGAGAAGCAGGCTCCATGCAGGGAGCCTGATGTGGGACTCGATCCCAGGACTCCAGGATCACACCCTGGGCCAAAGGCAGGTGCTAAACCGCTGAGCCACCCAGGGATCCCATAAGTTTTATTTATTTTTTTTAAGATTTTATTTATTCATTTGTGAGAGAGCACTAGAGAGAGAGCAAGCACAAGTGGGGGGCAGAGGGAGATGGAGAGGGAGAATCAGGCTCCCCACTGAGCAGGGAGCCCAATGTGGGACTCAATCATGATCTGAGCCAAAGACAGAGGCTTAACCGACTGAGCCACCCAAGTGCCCCATGAAGTATAATATTCTTATTTTTAAAATGGTAACGTGACATCTACAATTTATAAATGGTTGTACGAATAAACATCCCTTGCAACTGCTACCCACGAGTTTAAAAAAAAAAAAAGGTGGAAGAATTTGACTAGCATGTTAAAGGTCTTGTGGGTGGGTCCCTTGGTAGTCACAACCTTCTCCCCATACTTGTCCTGTCTCTTCTGAGAAAGCTCTAGCTTTACTTTTTAGGTAATCATTTCCTTGCTTTTCTATATAGTCTTACCACTTGAGTGTGCAGCTGTATGCACTAGATACATCTAAATAGTTTAGTGTATGTTTAGCAACTTTTTATAAATGGAGTCATACTTCCATTGGTGCTTCTTCCATTTGTTATCCATGTGGTTGAATGTAGCTACAGTTTGTTAATTTTCATTGCTTTGTAGTATTCTGTTATGTAAACATACCACAGTTTATTTATCTCTTCTGTTGTGTTGGATGTCTGGATTGTCTGCACTTTGTACCTACTACAGATAGTGTTGATATAACTATTCTTAGGCTATCTTTTGGTGCACATAGGACGTGTATTTCTGTTGGATATAGTCCTAGTTAGTAACTATTAATGATGTGACAGTGGACAACTAAACTACCTTTTTCTGAATGCAATTTAATGAGCCAGTAATTTAATGAAGGAAAAAAAACACTCTTTTGGTTATTTTAGGGTGGTAGGTACTGTCTAGACAAAGTGATGGCGACTTCCATCCAGGTAAATAAAAAATAAAGTATCCAGGATTTTACCTTTGTTTAAGATTCATATCTGCAAGCATGTTTCATCGAGAAAATAAAACATTTTAGCTTTTAAACAACCTCTAGTATTATTTCTAGGATTCTAAAATTAACATGGTGGAGATCCCTGGGTGGCTCAGTGGTTTGGCGCCTGCCTTCAGCCCAGGTCATGATCCTGGAGTCCCAGGATCGAGTCCCACATTGGGCTCCCTGCATGGAGCCTTCTTCTCCCTCTGCCTGTGTCTCTCCCTCTCTCTCTATCATGAATAAATAAATAAAATCTTTAAAATAAATAAATAAATAATAAAATTAATAGGGTGAAACAGAACAGAGAATGTATCTTACTTTCTTCTATGTTCTTCACGAAGACCATGGCACTGCTAAAAAGGTGTTAAGTCCCCACTAAATATGTATTTCCTCAGTAAGTAGTGTTTGGAGTAAAATTATTTGTATAAATAGGTATAATTTGCAAGGTACAGGCCCCTAAAAAGGATGCAGGAGTAGGTTGGTTTTACTTAAAACTGCTTCTGTTTTGAAAGCCTTTTTCCTGAAACATAAAATAATAGTTTGGATGAGTCAGTGCAATAATGTGCTTTCTCCATAGTTTTTCCTACTATATTCTTCACTTGTCCTCAGTACAACTAATATTAGTGTACTTCTGAGGTAATTTTTTTAAAGATTTATTTATTTATTCATTCATTCATGATAGACATAAAGAGAGTGAGAGAGAGAGAGAGGCAGAGACACAGGAGGAGGGAGAAGAAGGCTCCATGACGGGAGCCCGACGCGGGACTCGATCCCGGGACTCCAGGATCGCGCCCTGGGCCAAAGGCAGGTGCCAAACCACTGAGCCACCCAGGAATCCCCTGAGGTAATTTTTTAAAAATGATAATATGGTTCCTTTGTTTGCCTTTCGAAATGGAAGACAAAATAGACAGTACAGTATGATGCAACTGAATCACTTGTGATAGTCCTATGTTTCAGAGCATGTCTTTTAGGGCTTGTCCTGATTTCACCAGTAAGGTCAGATTATGGTAGATTGATTTCAGTATCTTCCTGTTTTTATGGGTTTCATTCTAAAGCTTCAGCGGAAGAGTCAAAATGTTTGTCACACTATTCTTGGTTAGCTGAAGTCTTGTTCCTGTTTATAGGAAATGACCATTGGTCTAATGCAGTTAGCACGAACACTTTATAACTCATCCAAGAACTATTCTAAGTGGTGAGGAAAAGGCAGTTTAATTTAAAAATTACTTATCCAGGTTCAGGCGGGGAGAAAACACTGCTGCTTGTGAATTCAGCATCCAATCACACCACAATTCATTTTTCTTCTTTGCTACAACAGATGTGTTTGAATTCTTTCTTGCAATGAAAAGATTCTTTTGTCTTCCTTAGGGATTGTAACTTCAAAAGGCGCTCTTAAATATATTACTACCTTATTTAAACTATTTACTTCCAAGATGTGCAGTACTTTGCACAAAGAATAAGTCACCAATCCCCTGGGCGCACAAAAGGAAAATGCTCTGCTGAGTTTCCTGTTTTATTTTGTTTTTCTGTGGTAGGTTTATGACTTGATGCCCAGATTTTTTATAGATTCACCTCTCACAGGACACAGTTCCCTTTAATGTGTTTTCCATGCGTATGGAAAAAAACAGTGTGTTAGTATCTTAGTCTGTCCAGGTTACTTATAATGAAATATCATAAACAAGGTGTATAAACAGCAGAGATTTACTCCTCACAGTTCTGGAGGCTGGGAAGTCCAAGATCAAGGCTCTGGCAGATTCATTGTCTGGTGAGGGACTCCTTCCTCATTCATAAACAGTTTTCTTTTTGCTATCACCTCTCGTGGCAGAAAGGTGGGTCTCGGGCAGCCCAGGTGGCTCAGCGGTTTAGCGCCGCCTTCAGCCCAGGGCATGATCCTGGAGACCCAGGATCCAGTCCCACGTCGGGCTCCCTGCATGGAGCCTGCTTCTCCCTCTGCCTGTGTCTCTGCCTCTCTCTTTCTCTCTGTGTGTGTCTCTCATGAATAAATAAATAAAATATTTAAAAAAAGAAAGAAAGAAAGAAAGAAAGAAAGAAAGAAAGAAAGAAAGAAAGAAAGAAAGAAAGGTGGGTCTCTCTAGGGCACTAATCCCATTCATATGGTTCTACTCTCATGACCTGCTCACCTTCCAAAGGCCTTACTTCCCAATACCATCTTCTTAGGGGTTAAGATTTCAAAATACAAAATTTGGGAGATACAACCATTCAGACCATAGCAGCTAGCAAACACGAGTAAAAATTTTATTTTTACTACTTGGCTTTCTCCTGGTATGTGAGCACAAGCTTTGTTAAAGTGCTCCTATGAGTCAAGTGAAAATGGCTTTAATTGATATCTTTGTGATGTCAAAATTTTTTTGACAATTTACTGTTTTTATTCGTCTGGGATAAAACAAATGTAAGATTTCATTTTATGAAATTAAAAGATTCTAAAATCAAAGAATTAGGAAAGTTGTTAAGAAAAGTTGCCAGTGTCTGTGTTGGTGTTACAGAGTTGTGGTGGTATAGCATGTGTAGGGAGGTCTGTGAGTAGAGGAATGCAATAATAAAAGTGGTATTTAAAGGAATTTAAAGGAGACTTTCCAGCCACAGGTCAAAGTCAGGAACATCTGCCCTTTTGTGAAGTTGTTCCAGACTGCTATGGTTATAGCAGATTTCCAGCCTCTGTGAATAATTACACAGTATATAAGCAAGAATGGATGAGTGGGTCAGAATAAAATGCTTTTAGCAGCAAATATAGAATAATTTACTGATAGAAAAGCAATGATCGAAATTCACATGAAAAAAAATCTTGGATATGGTTTCTTCCCTGGAGTTAGAACTTTTAATATGTTAATGTAAATTTTGAGAGTACAGGAAGAGCCTTATATTTCAAAGGATGCTAAGGTTTTACGGAACAGAGTTTGAGAAATATTGAGTTAAACTATAGCGTAATGTATTTAGGTTAGAGATAATTGAAAGTTAGAACATACACCAGCAGTGTGTAACAAGAATAAGTATGAGTCTACTTTTGCATATCCTCAAAAACAGAACACAGTTATCTATATTTTACTCCCTCTAAAACTGATTCTCAACAGAGGCTTCCCTTGACAAGGTGGTAGCAGAGTCTCAGTTGGATTTTGTCAACTGTTTTTTCTGCATCTGTTGAGATGATTATGGTTTTCTTTTATGAGTTTGTTAACATAATGAATTCCAGTGATAGGTTTTATGATGTTAAGCCAACCCTACATTTCTGAGATAAATCCCACTTGATTATGATGTACTATCCTTTTAATATTAAAATATCCTTTTAATACTATCCCTTTGGGGATCCCTGGGTGGCGCAGCGGTTTGGCGCCTGCCTTTGGCCCAGGGTGCGATCCTGGAGACCCGGGATCGAATCCCACGTCGGGCTCCCGGTGCATGGAGCCTGCTTCTCCCTCTGCCTGTGTCTCTGCCTCTCTCTCTCTCTCTCTGTGACTATCATAAATAAATAAATTAAAAAAAACTTTAATACTATCCCTTTAATATCCTTTTAATTTAAGACTTGATTTGCTAGAATTTTTTATTTAGAATTTTTGTTTCTAAGTTCATAAGGGATATCAGTTTTTAAGTTTCTCTCTTTTTTCTTTAAAGTTGGTCTCAGAGAGAGAGAGAGCAAGCACAAGCAGGAGGGACAGAGGGAGAGGGAGAGAGAATCTCAAGCAGACTCCTGGCTGAGCACAGAGCCCAACTTGGGGTGTGATCTCACTACTCCAAGATCACAACCTCAGCTGAAACTGAGAGTTGGATGCCTAACTGCACCACTCAGGCCTCCCAGTTTTTAAGTTTCTCTTACAGTAATATCTTTGTTTGATTTTTGATGTCATTGTATTGCTGGCCTAATAGAATGAGTTAGAAGTATTTCCTCCTCTGTTTTTTAGAGTAGTTTGTGTAGAATTATTATTTCTTCATTAAGTGCTTATGAGAATTTACCCTGAAGCCATCTGGGCTTGGGATTGTCTTTTCTGGAAGGTTGTAAACTATTATTTCCTGAACAGATTACAGTTTACATCATTACCCTCAATTCCAGTAATTGATTATTCCAGTAACTGATTATTATAATTCCAATGCCATAAAGTCGATTTTAGTTTTCATCTTTTCCATATTTTGTAACCCCCTTCTCTGACAATGAAAAATCTGCCTCCTATTATCTTTACTATATTTATTTATTTGATTAACTCCCCTCTATGTAGTAACCAATCTCCTTTGCCAGTTTTGCCCCCTTCCCCACATGAATGCCTTCTTCATCCCACTTGGGTTCTGTCACCGTACTATGGGTTGCAGCTGCTACCTTCTCCCCAGCCCCCCTCCACACCTCCTTTGGATGCCGTCCTCAACCCACCTAGGCTTTGATGCCTGTGCCAGACTTCTCCATTACTTGGACATTTCCTTTTTTTTTTTTTTTAATTTTATTTATTTATTCATGAGAGAGAGAAAGAAAGAGGCAAAGACACAGGCAAAGGGAGAAGCAGGCTCCATGCAGGGAGCCTAATGTGGGACTTGATCCCAGGATCCCAGAATCACCCCCTGGGCTGAAGGCAGGTGCTAAACCACTGAGCCATCCAGGGATCCCAACTTGAACATTTCCTACTTTCTCTTCTCATTTACTTGTGAAATTGTTCCCGCCGTCTGAGTCCATTTTATTCCATTTAATCTCCATGTTGTCTAATACATAATTGACAATAAATAAATACTTAATAACACTAAAAAGAATTACATTTTTAAGTGGACACATGGTATATCAACACTCTAAAAAAGGTGTTAGTATTTAGGGAGGTGCCATTATCTTCCTCATTTTACACATGAGGAAATGAAGTGCACACACAGAAAATTCATACAAAGTCATGTAGCTAATAACTGGTGGAGATGGAATTTAGCTACTGTGCTTCCAGAAAGCAATAGTGCCAAGACATATGAAAATTTCTAATACGTAGTGAGCCACAGTAAATAATAATCCATTTTGATGTGCAAAGTGATTAACTATAATAATCTGAATCACTATTGCCAGATCTGTGGCATAGAGTCATGATACTGCCCAATAAGAGTGGGAAAGATGATGATGTGTTTTTAGCTTGAATACAAATTAGAAGTAATTTTTCTTACTAGGCAGAGTTTAAAATCCTCTCTATTTATTTTGGATTGGTAAAGGAGACATTTTTATGTAGAAAGAAGACACAGACTCAGATATAGGTTATGTGCTTAAATCTAAAAGGAAATTTCAGATGAGAAAAGATGTTTCCAGTCAATAGAGGATGAGAAAAGGAATTAATGGTACCCTAGAGATAAAAGAATAAACCAAGGACATCAGAGCTGGAGAAAGTGGCCCAGTGGATGCAAAGAGAACAATAAAGACTTGACAAGCATCTATCATTCCAGTTCAGCATTTAATAACAGCCCTAAGCCCATGGATCCATTAATGTTGTGATGAATCTGTGAACTTGGCACATGATAGGTGCTCGGTGTATGCTTGTTGAATTGATTTGACAATCCTTTAAAAGCTTAAGTTGGATTTCCAGTTAAAGGCACAAATCTAAAATAAAGAGGAAAAGGAAGACAACAGCCTCCAAATTTTGAAGCCTGGAAAGCATATAGTTACTGATTTAGCAGACTAGAGAAAGCAATCCTAAACTGGCAGTAAGGAAAGCTGAACAGAAACTTAATTTACATTGCAAAATCCCCTAAGACACAGGTATCTCTGGAAGGCAAGGGTGAATATGGGGTTAAGGCTTCTCTGACAGTGTGTTAATGAAGCAATTATTCTTTTATTCCTTTCCCACTTTGCACAGCAACTTCCCCTGACCTTCTCAGCTCTCAGACTGCTGGCTGTCAACCAACATGCAGCTGACAGAAAAATAGAAATCTTCTCTGGGGGAGAGAAAAGAACTAAGATCCTGACATCAGGAAGTCCCCAAGGAAGAGAACTAAGATCTTGACATTGAGAGTCTCCCAAGGAATAGGCCCAGCTAGATTGCCCTATAATGAAGACTACAGTAAACAAGCTACACATACATGCACAGAGTTTGTAATCTGCTTACTGGTGGACAGCTTTTGGTTTGAGCAAGCAGCCAGGGAATACCAAAAGAACAAGGAAAGCCTCTGCTGTGAGTGAGTGGAATGTTGAGAAAATAAGAGAAGTTGTTACATTGATAAAAGAAAAACAAGGTATTATGTTTAAAAAAGAAACTTAAAGAACAAAGAAACAAGCATTTAGAAATGAAGATAGCAGATATAAAGGAAGTTTGAATGAACTAGAAGATCAATACAGAAGGTAGAATTTAGGAAATGTGTCAGGAAGTAGAAGAGAAAAAAATAAGAAAATAAGACAACCAATCCAGAAAATTCAATACCTAAATAATAGGGTTTCCAGAAAGAGGACACAGAGAAAATAGAGGGCAGGAAATTAAGGAAAGTAATATAGAAAGTAATTCAAGAAAATTTCTTGGAACTGGGCATACTTACCCAGCACAGTGGTCTAAAATAGACCCACATTATCTCCTATCATGGTGTTTCAAAGCACTGCGAAAAAAGAGAAAAATTCTACAATCTCCAGAGGGGGAAAGGGAAAGAGATCAAGAATCAGAATGGCACCAAATCTTCAAAATATAACAGAAGCTGCAAGAAATGTAACAATGTCTTCAAACTTCTGAAGGAAAGTCATTCTAATTTCAATTCCATTCCCATCCAAAGTGTGAGGGGAGAATGAAGATCTCCAAAAATCTATTTCCCTTGCACCCCTTCTCAGGAAGCTAACGGGGGAATGTGTCCCACCAAAACAAGGAGTAAAACCTAGGATCCAAGAAACAGAGGAGAGTCTGTAGGATGGATTGATTGAAGACCTCAAGGTGACAGCTGTGCCTAGAAAGTGACATGTCCAGGATGAAGCACATCACAAGTTTCCAGGAAGGACATCTTCAGGAAGTCAAAATTGATGGATTGCCTAATTTGAGTATCTCAAGAGAAAACCTGAACTCTTTGGGGAGGATTTGGATTAAATAAGCAACAAGCCCATCAAGAAGTAAGGAAATCTATGAAAAGACCATTGTCAAATTAAGAGAAAACTAAAAAGTTATGCAGGGCTTATTAAAATTAAGCATTTGTACTCATCAAAAACAAGTGAAAAGATAGAATCTTGAGGAGGTATTCATAATAAACATAAATGACAAATACTGAGAATATATAATGAACTCCTAAAAATCAATAAGAAGACTACAAACAACCCAATAAAAAGTGGGCAGGAAATCTGAAGAAGTATTTCACAGAAGAGGAAATTCATGTAGCCAATAAATGCAAAGAGATGGTCAGACTTACTGATGAGAAGGAAAATGCAAATGAAGACCGTAATGATACAGCCATTTCATTGACGAAAATTCAAAAGACTGATAATACCTGCAGCCTGGTTGGCTCAGTGGTTCAGCGCTGCATTCAGCTCAATGTGTGATCCTGGAGACCCAGGATTGAGTCCCATGTCAGGCTCCTTGCAGAGAGCCTGGGCTTCTCCCTCTGCCTGTGTCTCTGTCTCTCTCTCTCTCTCTGTATGTCTTTCATGAATAAATAAATAAAATCTTTAAAAAAAAAAAAAGACTGATAATACCGAGTGTTGGATAAGACGTAGACTCATAAAATCTTTTTCGTGTTGCTGGTGAGATTAAAAAAATTAAAATGCTTTAGCATTACCTTCCATAGTTGGAGAAAAAAAAATACTTTGTGACCCAGCAATCTTCTTTCAAGTGGAAAAAGAAAGTTAGAATATATAAAATAAGAGAAATGCACAAGAAGTTTCATTATAGCCCTCTTCAGCAAAATAATCCAAAAACTGCCTTTCAGTGAGAGAGTGGATAACAATTTACAGCAGTCAAAACAAATAAATGTATGAATGAAACTTTATCCTGAGATTTCATCGTAAGTGAAAAAGTAATGCAGTACTTGGCTGGTTCAGTAGAATGTGTGACTCTTCATCTCAGGGTTGAGTTTGAGCCCCATCTTGGGTGTAGAGATTACTTAAAAATAAAAAAATCTTTAAAAAATTTATTTAAAAAGATTTTATCATAAATGAAAAAGTAATTTAGTAATTTTCAAATATATACACCATAATGTACTTTATATAAAATTTAAATTTTTTAAAAATCCTCTTGCTTTTGGGCAGCCTCAGTGGCTCAGCGGTTTAGCGCCACCTTCAGCTCAGGGCCTGATCCTGGAGACCCAGGATGGAGTCCCACGTCAGGCTCCTAACATGGAGCCTGCTTCTCCCTCTGCCTGTGTCTCTGCCTCTCTCTCTCTCTCTCTCTGTGTGTGTCTCTCATGAATAAATAAATCAAATCTTTAAAAAAAAATCCTCTTGCTTTCTGTTTATTTATTACTCATATATTCTTTTACTTTTCTTCTTGTGGTTATCCTAGAGATTATACCTTGTATACTTGACAAATTAGGATTTTCATGTTTTCCTGAGCAATTCAAAGACTTTAGAATACTTAAATCCCATTTATCACCCTTCCTACTTATTTACCCCTGTTGTCATATATTTTAATTTTATGTTTTTAATCCCGCAAAACATTACTGTTTTTTTCGGCAATCAGTATTGACTTAGTTTACTTACATATTTATCTGGGGTTTTTTTTGTTCTTCATGCCTCTTTACATTTCCTAATTTCCCTGAAATAATTTTCCTTCGGGATGAGCACACTTTAATTCTCTTAGTTTTTGTCTGAAATACATTTATTTTACTTACTTTCTTGATCATTACTTTCTTCTGGGAATAAAATTCTAGGTTGAGATTTCTTTTCTTCTCTCTCTTTTTTTTAAAGATTTTATTTACTCATGAGAGACAGAGAAGCAGAGACATAGGCTGAGGGAGAACCAGGCCCCCTGCAGGGAGTCTGATGAGGGGGTATGGGGGGGAACCAATCCCCAGACAGGGATCACGTCCTGAGCTAAAGGCAGATGCCCAACCACTGAGCCACTCAGGCATCCCAGAGATTTATTTTCTTTTTGCAGGGGATCCCAGGGTGGCGCAGTGGTTTGGCGCCTGCCTTTGGCCCAGGGCGCGATCCTGGAGGCCCAGGATCGAATCCCATGTCAGGCTCCCAGTGCATGGAGCCTGCTTCTCCCTCTGCCTGTGTCTCTGCCTCTCTCTCTCTCTCTCTCTCTGTGACTATCATAAATAAAAAAAAAAAAAGTTTATTTTCTTTTTGCACTTCAAAAGTGTTGTTTCTTTGTCTTACAGCTTCCATCACTCCTGTTTTATTGAATATTCCTTTAAAGACATTATTTTCATTTTTCTCTTGCTCTTTGTCCTTAGTGTTCAGTAGGTATACTCTGATGTATCTAGATGTGTGTGGGGGAGGGGAGTAGAGGCTTGGTATATTTAATTTTTAGAAAAATTTAAATAATTACCTACTTAAATATTATTGCTATCCAATTTTCCTTCTCCCCCTTGTGTCCTCTGTATTTCCTACAAAAAGAAATCTACAAGAAAGTGCAGAAAATATTGTATTCATTTTTCTTTTCCTTATTTCATTTAGGATATTTTTATCTGAGTTTTCTTTCAATTCACTAATTCTCTTTTCAGTTTTGTTTAATCTGTTTTAGATTTGTTCATTGGGGTCTTAATAAAATACTGTTTTTAAGTTTTAGATTTTTTTTTATTCTTTCTGATAGCTTCATTTGTTTACCAAAATTCTCCATCTTGCTTTATTTCTTTGAACATATTAAGCATAATTATTTTAAAGTCTGTATCTGGTAACTCCCTTATCTTGATCCTCTACTGTCTGTTATTTATCTTGGTTTTTCATTATGTTGTTATATACTTGATTATCCTTGATCGAATGCCAGGCATTTTAAATGAAAGCATGTAAAGATACTTTGAGGTCTAAGATGAGGTCATCTCACTCCAGTGAAGATTTGAGTTTGTATCCAGAAGACTTGTAAGGGCATCAGCAAAATTAGATCACCTTAATCCCTTAAAGGATCGAGAAAATCTCAACTGAGCTTCATTCTCTGTAAGGGATCTTCTATTTCTAGTCCACTCTTTACCCCTAGGGTTTAGGTTTTAATTATCTCAATCTAAAACCTGGGAGTGACATCCTCCTCCTTGCTGAACACTGAACTTCAGTGTTGTCTCCTTGGCCCTATGAGTCTACCAGCAGCTTTGTTAATCTCTTCATCACCTCTTCCAAAGTAAGCAGATGACTAAGGTGAAGACAACTCAAATTTCTGCTTCACCTCTCAAGGTTTCTTGTCCCTGATCCTGAACTCACAATTCTTTACTGTTTTGTTATCTTTCTGATAATTTTAAGTATATTATATATATAGTTTTTTTCTCTAGCATTTCAACTTGTTTTCAGTGAAAGGACTGGTCCAGATTACAAAATTTACCTCCAAAATGAACTATGTAGGAATACATGTAGAGGCAACAAAGTTATATAAAAATGAAAATAAGGAAATGACCAACACAAGATTCAGAACTATGGTTCACTGAGATAAAGGAATACTGAAAAATGAATTGGTTGTAAATGTGGAGAACATTGTTAGATAAAGCTCCTTTTTCAGGTGTCAGTTCAAGGGAGCTAATCACATTATTAAAAACAGCTAATTGAATAAATAAAAAAGGGTCATGCATAGCCCAGTGAAGCATGTGTCACGAATTACCATTAATCCTATTCTATATACCTCAGCTTCAATAACAAAGAAAATTATGTAGGAAAGGAAATATAATCATAATTTATCAGTGTGGCACAGGTGAGGATAATCTAAATACTGAATAATGACCTCACTAAAATTATGATAGGCTAAACTTGGAGATTAAAAGTGTATTTTTGAGGGGTGCTTGGGTGGCTCAGTTGGTTGAGCATCAGACTCTTGATTTCAGCTCAGTTCATGATCTCAGGGTGTGGGATCAAGCCCTGCGTTGGGCTTTGCACCCAGCATGGTGAGTGTTTGAGATTCTCTCTCTCTCACTACCCCTCTCCCCACTCATGCTCTCCCTCTCTCTATCTAAAATAAATAAATAAAATCTGTTTTTAAAAAGTGTGTATTTGTGCAGTGGAGCAGGAAATAAATAATATCTTCAAGTTCTATGTCAGGAAATTAGTGCATAATGCCTAAAGTGAAAAAGTCACAAAATGATATTTGTTTTTTTGGTTTTTTTTTTTTAATTTTTTTTTTTATTTATTTATGATAGTCACACAGAGAGAGAGAGAGAGAGAGGCAGAGACATAGGCAGAGGGAGAAGCAGGCTCCACGCACCGGGAGCCCGACGTGGGATTCGATCCCGGGTCTCCAGGATCGCGCCCTGGGCCAGAGGCAGGCGCCAAACCGCTGCGCCACCCAGGGATCCCTACAAAATGATATTTGGAACTAAGAAAGTAAATAGCATGGGCAGTCCCAGTGGCTCAGAGGTTTAGCACTGCCTTCAGCCCAGGGCCTGATCCTGGAGACCCAGGATGGAGTCCCACGTCAGGCTCCCTGCATGGAGCCTGCTCCTCCCTCTGCCTATGTCTCTGCCTCTCTCTCTCTGTCTCTCATGAATAAATAAATAAAACCTTAAAAAAATTAAATAAATAAATAAATAAATAAATAAATAAATAAATAAATAAAAGTAAATAGCAATCTGCTGCAAGAATCCAAAATGGTTGACTGGAGGTGTGTTGGATTGGGAGTGAGAAATCAAGTTGATATTTATTACTAAGTTTTTAGAGCTAGTTGACCCTTTGTTAATAAAATCTGTAACTTTATTAAAATTAAATGTTTTTAAAAGCTATCAGAGCTAATTAAAAATATCAGAAATGTATAGTAGCAAAATGGAATACTTGAAGATATTTTGCCTAATATTTACCATATCATTTGATTTATTATTTCAACCATTTGGCTTTCATCCAATTCCTTTGCCATTTTCCACATGGGAAAGGCATAGTGTGCCTGCTTTTAATTTTGAAAAAGACAAGGAAAGAAAGAGAAAAATAAAAACTTTAAAAAGTGTGTGCTGTCCATCCGCAGGATTTTTATAGATTGATGGCTGTATGTGCATAGTCCTAAAATTCTGAAAAAGGCTAAACTTTTATTTGGAAATTATAAGCTGAAAAGATGGCTTAGCTATTGTACTAATTAAAAGGGAAAGCTACATAAAAAAGGTTAAAAAACATATTATTTGATAAACTGAAAACTAGAATAATTATTGTCCAAATGATGTGACTTAAATACTGTGAAAGATGAGGATTTCTGCAAAACTGTAAAAAAAAATTTTTTTTTAAATCCTGCTCTACACTTCTGATAAAAAAATGTGCTTTTGTTCAGGCATGTTTATTAGTTGCCTAGGCTGAATTTTTGGTTCTGTCTGTTAGTCATAGGCTGTGTGTTTTGTCTTCTAGTTACTATGTATCAAGCTTGGCACTGAAATAAAGCTTTCTAGATTTTAGACCTGAGGATGAGGCACAGCACAACTCAGAATCCTTCTTTGGCCACTGATCTTACATCCAATCTGAAACAAAAGTGTTTATAACAAACAGTAAAAATTGAGTTTGTACAGAACTTCAATTTTTTTATACTTTTGTTTTGCCAACTCTAAAATGGGAATAATTATTCTGGCTCACCTGTTAGGGTTGCTCCAAAAAGGAATTAAGGTGATCAGTTGTCAAAGACATCACCTTAAAAAAGAAAAACACAAAAGAAGGACTATTTGATTGTGAGATAGTATAAGCACAAAGGAAAAGTGACATTGAATTTCATTTCAAGGTAATAACAGGATTATATCCACTTTTCAGTGTCTACATGAGTAGGTATTATTTAAGGAAAAGGAATGAACCATGTGTCTTATATATATAAGCTTTTACATATTTTCAAGTCTTGTGATATTTACTAGATATTTGTTATCTACTAGCTCTGTGTAAAATACAAAGTATCTGTATGTTTTTGTGTTGACATATCCACAAAGCCCTAATTCAGGATTTTAAGCCAAAGAAACAGCTAGCTACGTTTAGCTTCCGCCAAAGTAAATGAATATAGAACATATTTTGCCAGTGTCATAAGCAATGAGTTGACAAGCCCCATGACATTTTTTGGTTACATGTTTTGAGTGACCACATTTTGAATTACAAGGCTAACGAACCTCATGGCCATAAAAAGTTCTAACACTCCCACCCTATTAGATATTGCATTTATATCTAGCTTATTCATTTCTGCCTCCACATTGGGTAACTAGGGAAACAATGATGTCACTGCTCAGAGTGGTACTTAGTAACTTCCATATTTGGGCTCATGATTTGGGAAGCCTGCAGTTATTTAATAAGTCTCACCTCCACCTCTGTAATAAATTCATGCA